AGGAGACACGGATCATGACTGGGCCCAACAGACACGGATCACACCTAGACCCAGCAGACACAGATCACGCCTGGGCCCAGGAGACACGGATCATGCCTGGGCGTAGCAGATGGAACATCACTGGGCCAAGCAGGCAGGCTTCTAGCCCCAGGCCAGGCTCTAACCGTGGCAGACCCTGGTGTTAGTGACAGCCCCTCCAGGCGTCTGCTTCTAGCTTGGAAAATAGGAGGGTAAGACCAGGTGACCTTTGAAAGCCACTTGCCGTGCAAACACGCGGTGAAAGTGACAGCATTTATGTAGGGCTGGAGCCAGTTTCCAGAGGGCAGCCTCACACTGGGTAATGGGCTAAAGGGTGTTTGGGGCTTGGCTCTGCCTTGCGTGACTGGCAACCACGGATGAGCCTTGGGCTTCCACCTCTGTGAGAAAGGTGGCAGTAATAACACCCACCTCTGTGGTTTTGTGACTTCTAAATGGGATGATGTGAGTAAGCTACTTAACACTGTGTCCCTTGGGACACAGCTCAATACCGCTGTTTGCTGTTTCCACCGAACGGGCAAATAAGGGCTGCCTGGTGACAGGCTCCTCGCTCCTCGCTGCCCCTGCCTTGGAGACTGATGGCAAATTTGGAGGCTCCAGTGAGAATCCTGTATGACCGACCTCGCCTGAAATAAGCTGTGGGGGTGTAAGGGGGTGTAGGGTGAGGGGCCACGCTGCTGCCTCCCTCTGAGGCTCTGAGGGCCTCACCAAGTCACAGAGGGGCCCATCAAGGCCACGGGTAACTAGCTCATCTCTGCTGCCTGTCTGGCCCCGGCACTGACTTCCATGATCCTGAGCACAGAGCTGCATTCCTTCCCCACAGCTCGCTGCACACTATCCACCCATGACCCTGCAGGAATTCGGACAGTGATCACACTTTAGGGGATGGCGGGCAGGGCAGCCCAGAGAGCCATGGAAGTGGGTGGGGTGGGGTGGGACAGGCCTGGGAGGGTCTGGTCAGGAAGAGAGTCCCTGCCTGGGGGTCCAAGTGGGGTGTGGACGTGACGGTGCTGCATCAGACACAGAAGCAGAAGCCTAGGGGCGCCTGGGTGGCTCAGTTGGTTAAGCGACTGCCTTCGGCTCAGGTCATGATCCTGGAGTCCCGGGATCGAGTCCCGCATCGGGCTCCCTGC